GTGCTCTGCGAGACTAATTAACATCCCATTCAATTTGGAGAACCTGGGATAGTTCAGATAGCCAAAATTGTCATCATTAAAAGAAAATATCAAATATCTGTGTACAAAAACAGACTTTCTTTTTTTCAAAAAGCCTTCTTTTAAATAAAGAAAAAAAAAACGGTTATACATTTTTATGTTTTATTTTAAGAAAATATTTTAAACAAATTTTTCTGTTTTACTGTTTAAGAACATTAGGAATTTGGTATTATGACACAATCACAAAGCTTGGCTATTTGGAATTTGTGGGCAACTAGTCTGCAAATGCAATTTTCCAATTAATAATACAAATATTAAAGCCAGGAAATATCATCCTCTCAAACAGCTGAAAGGCATATGGCAGGATTAACCAAATACAAGTCAACTACCAAACAATACAGACCTAACTACATAGGCACACACAAATATATGGGATGCACGTAGAAGAACAAAAAGCTAAATTCAAATGCATGAATGGTGTGCATTTCTTTATGGCTCCATCCAATTTGGAAAAATTCACATGGCATATGCATTATGACAATGAGGACTTCAACAATATTTGGGACCATCTTACTGTAGCTTATTAATCTAGTTCACAGTACAAACACATATTAAAATAGTGAAATTTCCTTCCATTTCAACTGCTGATATTTCATTCATTTTAGGCTATTTTGATAAAATTAATACGTAAACAAAATTTAATCTTTTCTCTTTTGAAAGATAGAATTCTTTCTCATGTGCAGTGATTAATTTTTATTATACATCTCTTTAAATTATGCCTATTTCAATGACAATGACTGTATTTTCAAAGTTAACAATTTCATATTTGCACTCAGAATTGTGTCTCTTTAACACATTTTAAAATAGTCCCATCTTAAAGGAAAAAAGGACACTCATCAATTTAGTGGATGAAACATAAAGTTTGAAGTTGTCTTCACAAAAGATTTCTAAGTTGAAAAATTTAGTGGATGAAATACCAGAAAAAAAAAAAAATCAACACTTAAAAAATGTAATTTAAACCTTGTAGAGCAATGCCTCATTTTTAATAATCAGTCAGTTTCTTATCTCTGCACCCACACAGCTTGTGGTCCTGTATTCATTTTGTACAAAATGCCTTGAAATTTGCATTTCTGACCAAGTGAATGCCAGATGAATCCCATTTTAAATTAAACTTGTTCTATCAATGGATATTACATTTTAAATCTTTTTCTTATATTTTCTTTAAAATTTAAAACCTTAAAGCAATTATTTTATTATTTATTTTTAAAATAAATCTGAGTTGACAGTTTGGATAAAATGAAATATTTTTTGTCCAAACTGTTACGTTCAATTGCTATTGTCTCAACTATTCTTATTTTATTATAAAAACTGAGATAATAAAATAGTATATTTTTGCTCATTCTCATTTGTCCATAATGAATTAAAATAAAACTTTTAATGGTCATTGATAAAGTATATTACTACAAACTTATTGAAAAAAGATTTTAAATGCATTTTTAATAATTTAAATGTCTCCTTTGAAGTTAAATTTTGTTTTTGTTTGGAAGATAACATCCAAAAGCTTTTTTTAAATAAAAAAAGAAAAAGAAAACAATTTTATTTATTTAAATAAGGTTTTAACTTTTTAAGACATTTTTAAAATATTGCCATAATCATTTTTACTGAATTTCTATTCTTGACAAAAAATGAAAATAAGAAATTTAAATATTTTTTTAAAAATTCAACATTTGTATTTTGTTTCAAAGTCAGTAAGTAAAATTAAGAAATAACTGACTGGATTTCATAAAAATCCTTTTTTTTTTTTTAATTAAAACTTAGTGAAAATAATACAGTAACCTGCGAGCTGTGGTAACCACAGTATCCTTCTAATGTTAACACTTGAAAATGGTATTAAATTTTACATTTTTCAATTCTTAAAACAGATCTTCATTTAATAGAAAGATCTCTTATTGGAGGAATTTCAGGACTGTAATGGAAAATTATAAGAACATTTTTAAAAATGAGTTGTGTGTCAAATCAACAAGGGTCTGACCATCACAGATCTTTTTTAAATTTGGTACACTTATAGAACTTCATAATAGAAATTGTATGGTACCTAGTTTACATCTCTAGGTCAAAGGGTACCTGAGATATGACCCTTTGACTCTTGCTAAAAATGTAAATTTTGGGAAATAGTCACAAAGTTTAAATATCTAAACTAATACATCTAAATTAATTCTGTTTGAATTTTTTGACTTAAATAATTTCTATGCCTCTTTCAGGTTACAGAGCACTTATTTTTCCTGAATTCTTCTACCATTCTTTAAGACTCTTATTTTTTCCAGGTGTCATTCTGCCGACTTCTTCAATTTTATGAAACAGCACAGCTTCATCAATTGTCTCTTGAGAGAATTTACATTTTCATGTATTTTGTAGAGATAATATTCCTTGTTCATTTACAAGTTTTTTTGGTTTGTCTTGCCATGTATGTTGTGGCGCCAAATTCCAGTTGAATTCATTGGATATTCCAGCTTTTTGGAAGTATTTTCAAAATTTGCACTTTTTGGAATCTCTTTCCACAAACTGAAAACTTTTCTTTTAATTGTGCAATAATTTCACTTTCATCCAATCTTTTGTGCTCTGCTACACTGGTAGATACTTGATGAGAAATGTTAGTTGAAATCAATTTAATTTTCTTTTCTGCTCCTTTAATTTTTCATATTTATTCCATATTTATTCCTCATAACTGGTTTGTTTTTCAAGTTTTTGACACATGATTGGTGATTCAATCATTCAGAGTAACTCATTAAGAAGTTGCAATTCATTTTCAGTATCTACAAAAATGCTAGAAAGCTGTGGCTGGTCTTCAGCAGATGTTCGAGTACTTTCAGAAAACTCAGGTAATTCTGTAAATTTTATTCAACAAGGGATTTGCTTGTAAATCTTTTTGTAAATGTTAAGAATCTTTTTTAAGCTTCTATTTCAATATAATCATTTTTTCAGATCAAAAATTAATTTTTTAAATATATCTCCATCAAGTGCTGTAATAAAAACTTTAGTAAAGTTTGGAGTAATAGTATACTGCAATCCACTGGTTTTGGTACTTGTAATTGAAGGTCATTTTGAAGTGGTTATTCTAATCATAACTACTAGAGTTTAAATAGTCAGAGCCACTGAGTGTCTTTTCTTCCTTCCTTTAGAAGTGGAGACAAAGTTCCATTAAAAGTTATAATCACTGTAATGTCTAGTCTGTTTATCACACAATTATTATCTTTATCAACATACATTGCAAGGAATTTGGGGTCTTCTTCAATCTGCTTCCCCCACATCCTGAGTATTAGAAGAAATATTTCCAGCCACAAATGTAGATGACCATTAAAAGGAATACTGACACTTTTAAAAGAAAATTTATTTTAATTCTTTTATGAAGTGTGAGTATGAAATTTAAAGAAGTAAGTATATATTCAGTTTATATATTTATTTTTTACTTTATAATTTGAATTCTGTTTAATGCTTTTTAAGAAAGTCCATAAAAACAACAATCATGGCAAAAGTGAATCAAGTGTGACAGTTTGGGCAAAATAGAGTGACTGAACAGTTTTAAAAAGAATATATAAGAAAAAAAAAATTAAAACTGCAATATCTGTCAATGAACAATTCTAATTTAAAATGGGGGTTCAGCTGGTGATGTTCATTTACTCTGTCAGCAATACAAATTTCAATGCATCAAACCCAGGTTGTATGGATGTAGAGATATGAAACCAAATGATTATTAAAGATGAGACATTGCTCTACAAGAAGGTGCAATTTTCATTTCTTTAAAGTTTTGAATTTCTATGGTATATCCACTGAAATTTTCAACTTAGAAATTTTTTGTGAAAGACAACTTCAAACATTACTGACAAAATTGACAAGTGTCCTTTTTTTAACGATGAGACTATTTTGATATGTGTAGGAAGAAACAACTTAGAGCACAAGAAATTTTAAAAGGCACCACCGTTTTCAGCTTTAAAATTGCAGAAAAACAAGCACTTGTTATTGATCAATTGATATAATTTAAAGAGATGTGGAATAAAAATTAATACATGAAAAAGAACTGTATCTTTATAAAGAAAAAACTCAAATTTTGCTTACATACTAACTTTAGGAAAAGAAAAAACTATAACAATGCGGAAAAAGATTTTCTGTGACACATTTCATTCTCTAGAACTTCATTGAACTCAAGTGAGGTTTAAGTTGATGTGACTACAAATGTGCATGAAGGAGAAATTTTTGCTGAAAATTTTAGATTTAGATTAAAAAATTAACAAATGATTAAATCTTTAAAACAGCATCTAACACAATCAAAAATAAATCCCTCATTACCAATGGCTAAAATAATAAAAATCAGCATCACCAATCAATGCTATTTCACATTTAACAATTTTTATAAATCAAAAATTTGGATTGCCACTAAGCAGGGAGATGGCATGCATTTTCTTAGAATTTCAAAAATAATTAATATTTAATAAAATATATTTTAATATTTTAATCTAAGTAATACAAAGGTTTGTTTCTCTCTTTTGTCTGAAAGTTCTCCCATATCAGACTTTGTATTTGAACCTTTGATTCTATTAAGCTGTAGTATTCACAAAGAGATAGTGTGTGGAAAGGAAGCAAAGTTCTAATGACTGATGTATATACATTTGATGAAGGACAAGTAATATATCAAAACATTTTTTTCAAACAAAAATTAAGTTACTAGTCTGTAAGTTATATACAATAATGAAAATACAGAGCTTCAGATCAGAAAACAATTTATATATAAGAAATATTAAAGCATCAGCAAAAGTGTGTGTGTATATATATATATATATATAAAAATGAATGAACATTGAAGTCAACACATATATTTATTTTAGAAATTTACCTTATTTCAAACTCATAATCTGGAATGTCAGATAAATACTGTTCCACTGGTAAAATCTGTGATGGTGCAATACCTGTGAGCTGGTTTCCCATTTTTAATTAAATTTCACTCTAAGCAAAAAGAAAGAAGAACAAAGATTAAATACATAGAATTAACTGATTTTTTTATGCATATCAAGTGAGTGAATTAAACATATCTTACTAAATTTGCACCTGTACAAACCACTGACATGTCATATTAGTCTTATTGTGCCGTGGATCATGCTAAATCATACATTTAGGGCAATTATTATTTCAAGAAAGATAATATAAATATTAAAATTATATATGACATGTTCAGTGGAGGAGGGGCGTATTCAACATTTGATAATTTTGTGGCAATATGTGCTTAAGATTTTAAGCAGTTTTAATCAACATTTCTTTTCATGGTTAGCCGTAAGGAATTGTAAATGTAGGAATTCCTATACTTAAGCAAAATAATAACAGTAATATTTATTAATAATTTATTACAGAAAATATCAAATTTTATAATTGTTGACAATTATGTAATAAGTTACATAAAAAATAGAAAAATAATATAAATTTTGATGCTATATTTGATTTTTTGTTAATCATTTTTCATTTTCTCCTTTGTTATTGACATCATTTTAGAATACTTTGGCTGCAATGCTAAGTTTTCTAGTTGAACAAACTGGAATTATTTTATTTACAATATTTTACCTCTCTTTTCCATTTTTAAATTGCTTTTTTTGATGGTCAATAGCAAAATTCTGAAATTTAGAATGATCTTATCCCATTTAAAAAATAAAGCCTGTAAAAAGGAATATTTTAAATTAATATACAACCAAAAGTAAAATGGTTTTGACAAAAAATCTTAATGATTTCACTATAATTATGTAACAATAATGTAATGATATTCAACAGACAAATCTACAGTTTATGTTGCCTCATCTCATTGCATGGTTACAAACTATAAAACTAAATTGAGCTTGAAATATTGTGTAATCAACTCTAATTTTTTATAAATACATGGTATAATGAATATTTTGCAGTGAAAAAAAGAAATCTTTGGTTTTTTGTTGAATACACCCCTCCTTTCCCAAATGTGTCATATTTACTGAAAAAAAAAAAAAAATATATATATATATATATATATTTAAAATAATTTTGCAATTATACTGCTTGTATTTTCTGTATGAATAAGCTAGCATTTTTATATCCAAAAACTAACAGAAGAAAAAGGTAATTTCTCAATATCAAGTAATGGAGATCAGGCAGTGATTGAGCTCACACCTATATATATATATATATATGGATTTTTTTATCCCACATTATTTATTTTCCTAAAGATTTTGTGAGTACCCATGTTTGAGTAGATGCTGTTTTAAACCATTTATTTGGAGTAGTAGGAAATAACATTGGATAAAAAATCCATTGCTTCTTTAGAATATTGTATTTACATTTTGGATGCAAAAAAATGAGCTTACAAGAAAATTTGCATGAGAGGATGAGCATTCTTCAAAGGTGTAATTTAACCTGGCTTTGACTGTGATCTAAAGTTGTCTAAAGTATGCCAGATCAGATGGAGGTTTCTCCTAGCACAGAACCAAGTAAGATTAGGAAGTTGGAAGATTGTGTTGTGAAGGTGGTCATATTTTTAAAACCAGCATTCAAAATGAAGGCTTTTAGCTAGGTAGCTCCATGAAATCACTAAAAAAAAGAGCATAGCTTGATGAAAAAGATGCCAACCTTGCCGAAAACAAAATGTTATCGTCTAAATGCTTATGTTATTATTAAGAGGGAAGACCAAAGTTTTTTTTAATTATTTTAAAAAATTTTTTTTTCTTTTAGAACATTCTAAATTTTGATTAAAAAAAAAAAAACTTGATTCTCTTTGTATCAGCAGAACTAGTAAATAACATAGACAATTTTTAGCACTTTTTTGGTATGACACACATTAATTTGGAAAATCTTGCAAAAATATAAAGAATTGTCGGATGTTAATGAAACTTTCAGGAACTATTCACAGATGATCGGAATTATTATATGTGTTTTTTTATTAAAGTCATGGCAGAATTTTTTTTTTTATATTTATTACCCCCCCATAACTAATTTTATGAAAATGCTAGAAATTCGATCGAGTCTACTTTAATGATTACAATAGTTAAAAGCACAAGGCTTTGAGGAATGCAAATCATGTTTTTTTTTGTTTTTAATTGGACCCCCTCCTTCCTGAAAATCAGCTCTGAATTGTAACATACAAAACTCAATAAAACAAAGATATTATTTAATTTAAAATGCTTTTATTTGCTTTTAGTTGTTTTTATGAATATGGACAATATTTTCTGAAAGCAAAAAATTTTTCGATGAAAAATGAATTTTTAATACAATTATTTGTTATTTCTTAATTATAATAGATTTTTATATTTAATTTTTTAAAATATTATAAAATTAGTTAAAAGCCATGTCAGGTTTTCTAAGTCTCCTTATGATAGATCTTTTTTTTTGACTAATCAGCGCATTGTTAAATTGTATTTTTTTGACTAATTATAAGATCCGGAGTAATTAAGAAATGTAATTTTTGAGTTAAGTTTATAATCAGGCTGTAATTATAACGTATGGAAGACCAATTTTTCAATTTCAGAATACTATTAATTTATGAAATTTATGACATTTTTATATTAATCATTTTTTTTTCCATAAATGAAATATCAAAATTAATAATAAAATGAATGGAAATACAAATAACACAGTAAAATGTAATAAATGTACATAAAATTATAGTATTTTATTTATAATTTTCTTATGAAATATGAAAATTTAATCTCACTTTAACAGTCTTATTTTAATTTCTTTATAATATATTTTTTCATAAAACATCAAAACGTAAAGGTGAAAGCTAAGTACAAAAAAAAAAAAAAAAAAAGAGCGCTGAAAGTTTTCCTTAAAAATAATGAGGTAAATAATTTGTTCACTTAAATGTAAATTATTTCACTTTTCTCCTTCTGTCAATATGTCATTCATCATTCCCCAAAAAGGACGCGAAAGTTTATGGCCTGCTTTGTTTTATTTTCAAATTACATCTTTTTTTCTGCAGAAGCTAAGTTAAGTTTGGTTCAAAATATTTTAAATAAACATTATAATTTGTGGTTTTCTTAAAAATAAGTTTTGAAAAAAAAAAATAATTGATATTTACAAAAATTTCAAAGTGAGATTTCCAGTTTTTTTTATAAAATGGAAAAAAATGGTCAATTTTGTTGACTAAAAAAAAAAAACAAGATTTTTAACAAAAATTTCGGACATGCTAGGAACAATTAAAAATGTAAAAAAATACCCCCAAAATACTTTGATCTTTCCTCTTAATAATAACAAACATTTAGACGATAAAATTTTGATTTCAAGTTTGGTGTCTTTTTCATCATGCTATGCTCTTTTTTTTAGCAATTGTTGGTTGAAACACCATGTAGAGCTAGCAGTGGGAAATACACATTTAACTCACTAAGTATACAGACTAATCTATAACTCTATATACCATTCAAGAATTATGTTTTCTTTTAATTTTTATATTTTTGATGACAGCAAACAGAGCTGTTTTGATATTAAGATTTGTCTTTGGAAAAATTTAGACATTCAACTTTTTCATCCTTTCATAATGTCATGAAAGAGATAAATGAAAATTGTTAATATTTTAACTGGATAATTTAAATATCTATTTTAGTAACTGGATGGACAAAAGTCCATAAACAAATGAAATTAAAATGAAGACAAATTAAACATTTTTATAAAGTATGGCCATGATCTGTGAAATTTAACAATGAGTACAGCAGATCATGTTATTTTTTTAAAGATTTTGCCCACCTATTCATTCAGCCACTCTTTTTCCAATTTACCATACTAATTCTATGACCATAGCAAGATGATTGAATGTGGGAAAATGCAGAAAGAATTGAATTCATACCTATCTGAAAAGCAATATCTGACCAACTCTGTTTTGGAGCTGAAAACCATTATACACTTTCTATAAACTACAAATGATTTGGGAAGTAATATAAAAAAAATACAATTAAGCCAGAGAAGACTCTCATATGTCATCTAAAATTTAAGATTGCATAAGAATAACACATCAATTTTTTATTTTTTATTATTCCATAATTCAAATAAAACATCCCAATGCATACATAAAGAAAATTTGTTCAGATTTAAGAATTATCCCAATTATTAATATGAATAACCACTTCTTAGTGAGCAACCCACTATTGAAGCAAATTCACTTTGTAGGTCAATTCAGTAGTATAAGGAATTCAGTCCTCATAAGTCATCAATTGTGGCCATGTGCTAAACTAAGCTTAGTAAATACCAATATGATTAAATGCACTTATGAGTTGTATCACATAATGATAAACAATTATTAAACTGATATTTTGCAACTGAAATGTATTTGTAGATTTTTGAAAAAAGTCTTTATCAGATGATGCTCATAAACTTAGACATAGGCTTGGAGATGATATATCATTAAAATAGCCAGGATACCTTAGCAATATTTCTTAATAATACCAGATTGGGTGGGTTGATTTTTATATGATTAGCTGACATCATATATATTGACTGGATGATAGTCTTTTTGTTACTTGCATGATAACTTACAAATGAATGAAGAAATAAGTCTTTCAGATTTTTTTTTTTTTTACTTATGTGTTTTATTTTAATAGAACTGTTGAAGTGCTACAATCATTTGCATGTTTCAAATACTCAACCTAGTTAAAAAATGAAAGCAAACCAAAAAACATTAATTTCGGAAATCAATATTTTTTTTTTAATTGCTTGTATTAATGAAGTAAAATAAAAAATCACTGATAAAAATTTGAAACTAACTGAACTACTTCAAATCTTCAGGTCAAGTGTTTGGATTTTTGCCTGAAGATAAATTAATTACTCAATCAATGAGTAAAAATAAAATATTTTATTTTATTTTCGAATAAATTAAATATACACACACACTAAATAAAAAACTACTTTTGTTCTTGATACTGATTATGGTAAAACGTACAAAAATGGGGTTAAGAAAAGTGCGCATATCATTTTTTTTTTAAATTAAAAAAAAATCTGTGCTCTTTTTTCTTGAATTTAACTCATTTTTAAATAAAATCAAACTCATGGAAGAAAGACAACAAATTTCAATTTTAGTTACTACTGTCACACAAATAAAAATAAAATTAAATTAAAATTCATGCATACAAAATAAGATTTCTAGGAGATTATGCTACACTCACAGTGTACCGTAGTAAGAGTAAGACGACATTCGTTAATTTAAGTTACCAATTGGGCGTGGTTTCTTTTTTTTTCAACCACCATTTTATTATTTAAGTTTTATAAATGCAAATATATATATATATATATATATATATATATATATATATATATATATATATATATATATTATTTTTTAAGGTTTACAAAATGTTTATCATTTATTATTTTTGTTAGAGCATTTTTCCACTAGCTAAAGCAGAAATGAAAAAAACAAAAATAAAACGATACTGTGGAGGTATGCTAATAATTTCGATTAAGTTCTTTTCTTAGAGACAGAGTTGATACACAAAAATACTTTTGAAATAAAATTAAAAAACATTCTGCAATGAGAACAACCAACAATTATCTCATGCAAATGCAATATTATTTTTCCTTTTAGAAAATAATGTTTCAGTTTGTAAAGCGAATTTTATAAAAAATGTACTTTTTTTTTTTTTCAAGGAAATACATTTTTACTGGAGAAGAATAATTTCCAATGTATAATTACATAAGTGATTGCTGATTAGTTTTATGTTCAGTTAGTTAAAAAAAATTTCAATTTTTGGAATGATAATGTCAGTTGATATTTTCGCATAAGAACTACAAGCAGCAGCATCAAAAATGTCAAAATTAAAGTAAATAATAAATATGAAAATAGCAAATTTAAAAATTTAAAGTTATTTTTTTTTTTTTTTACATTATCCAATTTGTTCTTTCTACTGAAAAATACGAAAAATATTTGGTTAGAACATGATGAATATGCAGACAAAAATATCTATTCAAAATTATAATTCAATAATAATCAAAAAGAAAAAACTATCATTGGCTTGTGGGCTTTAGAGTTTCAATTTAAAGTTTAAGTTTAAATAAACAGGACATTTTTAATTTAGACGATTTTTATACACACGCTCTAAAATAAAAACGAACTTACACGATTGTCCCAAATTTTACAATACAATTAATGACTGGATCATTTTTTTTCTTTGTTCCAAAATAAAGGTAGTTTTTTTTTTTTTGGTGATTCTAAAAATAAGAGACCACGAATATTTTTATGAAAAGTAGAAGATCGAAAGTGGAAGATTCAAACACAATATCACATGAGCGTAACTCATTCAATTTACACCGGTTTATATAATTATCTCCCTTTAGTCGTCTGAAGTAACTAAAAGTAGAAAGAGTGTACCAATCTTTCAAGTGGATGGCCGATTTAGAAGCATTTTTCAAAACTAGGTTGAAACATCGAGCGCTGGAGAGGAATAAGTAACTGCTTCAAGCACGCTACTAGTTGTTGTGGGTTTACAAAATGTAAATAAACGGTAAACACTAATGAATACCAAGAAATATTTTCCTTTTTCTTAAATCTTAATTGAAAACAAAAAGCTTCTTTATTACCTTTTCCTTCAATACCCAAAAAATTAATTATAAAAGTTTAATTTAATTCAGCTTATAGTAATTTCTTGTTTTAGTGCCTTTTAGGAGCAGTTATAAAGAAAAGGCTTTGCTTAAAAAAAGAAAACTGTGAAAGAACTGAAACTAACTGGACGTCAGCATCGATTTAAAAAAAAAAAGAAATCGACAAAACTGGCGAGAAGACTTTGCCGTCACTGGATCGGCAATGAAATAATTCGAGTAAAAAAAATATAATCACCGTAACGAACACGCACACATAATAATAATAAAATTAATTACTATTTATTTTTAATTTTAAAATTGCTTTATTGTATTATTTATTTTGTTCTTTTTGATTTTATCATTGCTTTTTGACACAGAAAAAAGGGTTTATTGTAATTTAATTCTTTTCCTTTAATTTGTTCGCTTTTCGACAGAGAAGAAAAAGGTTTTAAAAAACATGTCCACTTTTGTCATTGCTTTCCGATAGTGCGCAGTAATTTTTACACGAGTAAGATCAGTAAAAGCAGTAAATAGGCCGTTAATTACGCCTCCGCGAGTAGTGTTCCGCAGTGAATGTAGTTAAACAACCCACGTAATGGAGGACGAATGAATGCGACTAAGTCCGAATTCTTATTGTCGATAACTTCAAAACGGTAGGTTTTATCAAAATTTGGGTGTTATTTTTGAGTTCAGCATATATATTTACACAGAAATATGATGATTTAGGAAAGTTATAATATATTTTCTTTGCGGGGCTTAAAAAGCAAATTTACTCGTTTTTTATGATTAAAAAAACTGACACACGTTATTGTTGTTTACTTAATTCTGGTCCAAAGTCAAATTTTCTGGTGCATAAAGAAAATATTTTTTATGTGAGACCAGTAGTACTCAACCACTACTAAAAAATAAAACGATTACGAGAAGAGTTAAAACATTAACTGTTAAGTTAAGTTGGCTATCTTTCAATGTAAATCAAAACCAAACAATTGAATTGAATTTGTTTTGGTTTTTTTACTTTTTTATTAACTCTAATTCTGTAACAGACATTTGCTTTCCTTTTTTTTGTCGCGTAGAGATTCGTACACAGGGATGTTTTGTGTGTTTTTTAATTTATTTTCCAATATCAGACCAAGATTATTGGAAAACTATTATGAAAGAAATTTAGTATAAAATACAAAATTTAATTTCGTTTAGAAAAAAAAAATCAGTCCTCGGGCCACAAATGCCGACCGGTGTAGGGATGTGATTTAAAGTTCATCGGATGTGTTTTTAGCGGTTTTCCATTATTATTTAATTCTGGCTTGGTTGATGTGGTGGTAGTGAGGACCAGTGGTAGAATCAGCTGGAAAAATCCTCTTATTTACGAAAAAGTTTTTTATTTTTGTCTATATTTCTGAGATGAGGTATATTTCTGAGATGAAGTATTGTAATTATTTACACTATTTATATTATTCGAACTATTGTCCTTATCTCCGTTGTCATATTCATGACGTTTCGGGCATTTTACGCTCCAGGCTTTAGGTGGCTGGAATTTCGAACTGAAACTTTTATTTCGTTCACCATGGTAGATTGTTCTAGTTCCATTCAACCAATGCTTCAATTCAACCACAGGGCCATGTGTCCTTGAGAGCAGTGTATGAGTGTATGATTTTGGGGGACTTATAAATCTAATATCTCTCTATCATTTTTAAATCAGAACTCATATTATAATTTTGTTATTATTATTGTCGCGGAATTTATGCTAATTTGGATGTGTCAGAAGGTGTAATTGTGTGAAGGCTTAAAAATGTGCGTGTTCGTTAAACATTCATCTACAACAAATAAAATAAGCAAACATTTGAAGGCAATTCAATTGGAAGAAATCAAGGAGAAACAACGTAGTTATAGATTTCAAAAAATAATATGAATTTTGACATACACAAAGTGAATTTATGTGACAAGTGAGATAAAATTCTAAGGAGTGACCATGCAGAGATTTGGTGTATGAAAGCCTGTATTTTAAGTTTGCCTATGAAATTAAAACAGTTTGAATTCTTCTAGGTGAAATGTCACTTGTGTGAGTTCAGACATTAGTGTGTATGTGTGTGACAAGTGTAAATATCGTTTAAAGTCATAAGGAGTTATGTACCTTCGACTGATATGATATAAATTGATTAGATATACAATTACTACTTTGCAGTGATAATGTCACTTTGTTTAGTGAATTGTAAGTTGAGTTAATTCGCGCGGCAAGACTGTGTGAGTTGTGTTGAGTTGCTGAGAGAGAATGGTGGTTGTTGAGTCAGTGTGCTGGCGCGCGTGGAATTTGTTGGCATCTTTCAAAGACTGAGTTCCTGACTGCTTGAATCAAGTCAAGCGATCCTATTTATTGACTTTTTTTAAAATTTTTATTTCAAACCGGCTCCAGATAGGTGAGCGGGAAAAAGGATTTGTCTCAACTTGCTACATTTTTTGTATCCTTTTAACCAATGGGAAGTTTGGAAAAGTGAAGTGATGATTGGTCAAAGTTGATTTGGGGGAAGAGTGCATTTTCCCGCAGGGATGACTGGCAAATATGGAAGATTCCATTATTATTGCTTTTCTCTAGCACTCAGTATTACTGGTTCACATATTGTATTCATTTCTATACTTGACCGACTTAGGAGATTTTTGTGAATTAGCATATGCGCTGATTCCTCAATTTTTGTATTTTACAGTAATGTTTTTTGTTTATTATTTTAACCTCATCCGATTGGAGTGGGCGGTGATCTCCCTTTATCCCCCCATATGTGGTCAGCTACGCCTGATTTTTCTACTTCTCCTCGTGTCACGACTTTACGGTGTTCCTGCAGTTTTATCTTAACGGGGCGACCTGTTTCACGTTTATATTTCTTATCACAGCTGCATGGGATAGTGTACACATAGACCTTAATCATGTTCTCCTTTATGGGAGGACTTACTCGGAAAAGGTGTTTGCGAAGTGTTGAACCACTTTTGAAAGTCGTTCTGATTTTTTATGGACCAAAGATCTTCTTTTTTTTTTTTTTTGATAGCCCCTTAACAATACCTGTCTACAGCAGAGGTGAACAAAAAAATTGAATTTAGAATTAAAGGGAGATAACTTATACTGGGACACCCAAAGTGTGCCAATTCTTTATATGGATGAAACCAATTTTAATCTCCATATTTCAAGAAGAAGAGGTCGCTCTAAAAAAAGGCACGAGGTGCACTACAGTCGCGGCCGGATCCAGGGGAAATAACATTCATGTTATTGGATGTATTAGTATTAATGGATTAATTCATCATATAATTAAAAGAGATTCTTTCAAAAAAGAGGATGCGAAAGAATGGACCAGGGAGTGCCTTAGAAAGGCAAATGAAATTTATGAAAGGGGAGTTGTCTTAGTTATTGATAACGCTCCTTGCCATACTTCAATTGAAGAAGTTGTGGAGGAGGATAAATTTAGGCAACACCAAATTTTCAGACTTGCCTCCTATAGTCCGATGTTAAATCCCATTGAAAAGGTTTGGTCAGTCATTAAATCTGACGTAAAAAGATGGCAGACTCAATTGTTGGGATTTTAAGAGGTGATGGCCAGGGATCTTTAACTACTAAAGAATTCCGCCTCAGCAAGTTAGAAGCGATGATCTCCGAGGCAATTAATAATATTTCCCCCGAGACTTGCACTAACTTCGTATCTGGAATACAGAGATTACTTCCCTTTGTAATTAACTTAGATGATGTAATCTTTTAAATAAATTTCTTAGGAACGTTTATATTTTTTATATCCCTTTTAAGTAAAAATAAAAGAATAAATATCCAATTTATTATGTTGGGGATGTGCAGAATTAATTAATTGTAATTGAGTGAATCAGAAGAAATTTGTGTAGTTTTTAAATATCTGGCATCCAACGTCTCTACTGGAGGCCAGCGAGTCCGTTTCCCGCTTGTTTGTTTGGAAGTGACTTTTCATACGAACATGGTGGTCGGCATTTCTTCGCGCGCGCGCGCCAAAATTTTCGTGCTACCAGCAATTGGCATGTTGGTAATGATCTCGGCGTTGTTGGTATTTATGGCGAGACGTCGATCTTAAACCACGGTTTCTGTGTCGCGTAAAATTATCACGTCGACTTTCATGTGGTTTTTGTAATTCTTGAGATATTCTTTTTAGTTCTGAGGACAATTTTTGAATTTGTTGGTTGACATCTGGCACAAGGCCATCCACAGTCTCTGCTGAGGAAATTTGTCGTACAGGGGCAGTATCGGCTATTTTGTCTGCTATCATTGCTAATTTTTGTATGTCAACGTCGTCTGTTAATGCAGCCAAGATTCGTACCATTTGGCGAAACACTGTGGCGGATATGTTGTTGTCGCCCAACAGTTGTTGCATGCGTCGTAGTAACTGGGACGGTTTTGAATTTCCGATTGTTATATTTGTTAAGAGATCTCTTATTTTTCTTTCTTCCGAAAATCCGGTCCGATGCAGGATTGCTTGTTTGAGGGTCTCGTACGGCTTGTCTGTTGGTATAGAGGTTAATATGTCGGCTACTTCAGCCGCTACCTCCGCGGGTAACTTCTCTACCACGGACGCAAATTTTGACTGCTGCGAAGTTACGTGTCTGGCCTGAAATATTGCGTCCAGTTGGACGCAATATTTCAGGCCAGACACGTAGGAACCACGTCTGAACGTTTGGGTTGAAGGCAGGCATTTCAAGCCTGATTGCTGTTTTTGTGAGAGGAACTGGATCAGCCATTTATAAAGTCGTGGTTTTATTACTGGATCTTCGATCTGTCGGTTCAAAGACAACACGTGTCGATTTAATTTCTTCCCGCGCGTTGGGGTCGTCACTCTTGTTGGATCTTTCGCACGTCGATGTTATCAATGTCATTGTTTCACACGTCAGTGGTTGCTAATTTATTGGAGATTTTTTTACTTTACTTTTCGTACGTCGGGATCGCCAATTTTTCTTTTCGTACGTCGGGGTTACCAATTTTATTGGTGCTGTTTGCTTGAGCGTCGGGGTTACCAATTTTATTGGTGCTGTCTGCTTGAACGTCGGGGTTACCAATTTTGTTGGGGATGTGCAGAATTAATTAATTGTAATTGAGTGAATCAGAAGGAATTTGTGTAGGTTGCGTGACTTTTTGCATTCACAAACAAATAAATAAACGAATTTTAAATACAATCAAAAACAAGACATATTCAATTTAGAAATCAACAAAACATTTATATACAATTAAAAGTAATATATATACAGGATATTTTGGTATATGTTACTATGACAAAGTATGTCTGATATTTGAGGTTTCGGCATGTCTCTTTTTGTATTTGTATGTTCAGTTACAGTCTTTCTGGAATTGTGTTAATTAATATTAAAAAATGTCGATGTTAAGTGTTTTTAGGAATGAGTTCTTATAGAGTGGTCTACCTTTGACTGTTAATATTTCTGAATCGTTCGAATGTTGATTTTTACTTAATAATGTAATGAGTATAGTTCACTTTGGATAAGCAAAGTTGTTTTAGGTTTGCGATTTGATGTCCACAGAGTTGGTCGAGTTTAAATTGCAAGTGAGTCAGCGTTGTTGTACTTTTGTGCGGTAAAGTCGTGATTTCGAGTGACGTAGAGTATGTTGGCAATTTCTCTGTGGATGTTCGTCTCTGACTCTTTTGGTCAGTCGGTGTTTTCTTTTATATGTTTTTGAAAGTCCAAAATCGGCTCAAAGAAGTTTTGGCGCAATTTGCACGTGAAACTTTCAGATTATTGTGTCGTTAACCAATGAGATTTGTTGATTCGCCTAGTACGGTTTTTTATTGGTCGAAGTTTTCCGTACATAGGCGTAAGGTATAGATTGTTCTGTTACTAGGGGTGATAGGTAGAAAAGGACGTGTCTACAATTAGTATTATATTAATTCTCAATTTGAAGTTGATTAATCCAATTTGAAGTTGATTATTTCTCATTTTGAAGTTGTTTTCCAATTTGAAGTTGATTAATCCATTTTGAAGTTGATTAATCCTTTTTGAAGTTGATTGATCCATTTTGAAGTTGATTGATCCATTTTGAAGTTGATTATTCCATTTTGGAGTTGATTAATTTTTTTACCTGAAAATAAGTCCATTTTGAAGTTGATTATTATCATTGGAGTTGAAAAGGTATAGATCCGTTTGTACTGTCAGGACTAGTCTTATGTTAATCGGCATTGCTTGTGCCGTGTGATGTCGCTGCTTGCTCGAATTTTTGTTACTAATGCCATCAGTTCAATTAAATAAACGGTCTGCCTGAGAAAGTGGAAGTTAATTTGTCATGCACCTCTGGCTTCGATTACTCATGCAACGTTACCACTGCTTCATTAAGTTTGCTATAATTAAATCAAAGTTATGGCCTGTTTAATTTATGTGAGTTGAAAGAGAGACCCACTATACGAGATGCGATTGTTAAAATTGTCGCCATTTTTACATTTTTAATTTCGCGCATACGCGTTCTTTGTTTTTGATTTTCTCAACTGCACAGTATAGCTGGATCAGTTGGATACCGTCTGTGAGAATAAGAGCATCATGACGCTATTCACTCCTCCAGAAATTTGGAAACGGCATGCTGCACTGCTCGACATTCGCACCGGAAGCTCAAATACAAACATTTCAGAGTGTTTGGGTGTCGATCAGTGACAATGCAGAGGATTAGGAAAGAGGTGGATGAGTCTAATGGTGATTATGCAGGTGTTTGGAGTGATCACTAGTGATGGCGACATTATGCCTGCAGCCATCTTCCCACAGGGCTTCCCACAGGGCCTCCCACAGGGCCTACATCAAACAGGAGAACCTAGTCATGTCTATCAGACAATTTCCGCGACCACATTACCCCTTACTCCACCTGACTCCCCAGACTGCTACCTCCTTGATTATTACATGTGTGCCGCAGTTGCGCGAAAGACTCCTTGCAACACCAAAGATGAACAAAGCAAGGATTATGATAGTATTCACCAACTTAAACAAAGAGATCGCCCAGAAGATGTGCAGGAGATTCCGAAGTCGTCTGGAGGCTGTGGTTGAAGCCAAAGTCGATTTTATTGAATAAATTTACTCTTTAGTATTTCAAAATATTTTGCGTAATTTTGGTAAATATATCTGTTAAAATGAGAAGTCAGTGATATTTTCATTTTTGTGTAATTTAGACGACAATTTATCCATCATATATATGAACGCAGTGGAAGACGGTCTTTTTCATTGCTCCAAGCAAACAATGTTTTTAAAGAAAAATAATGGAAATGGTTGTTATCTATTTATGTATTGTTTTTTCTTCATCATTCTTTTTTTTTCTTTTGATCAAAATAGATATTTTATTAAGTAACTTCCACAGATTTTCTAAAAGAAAGTTAAAAACGCATTCTAAACAATTTAAATGTCTTTGAAGTGAAATTTGTCATTATTTGAAAAATAATAGCCTAAGGATAATCCATAAAAAAGAAAAATTATTTTACGTCTTTAAATAAAGATTTTAGATATTTTTAAAATACAAAAGTTAAAACAAACTCACTTCCGCCCAATTCAATTAGCTACTTTAACTTGACGCTGACAAAAGAGAAAATAAAACAGTTTAAAAATCTCTTACAAATCCAATATTTGTTACAACCATTGCTTTCGATAAGAAATAATAAATCTCGGGAATAATTAATTAGATTTTAGCATTCTGATTTCATTTAATAGTTTCTTTCGGCGGCAAATTTGGTGCAGAAAGAGGATCACAAGCCTTGATATTACTTTGACCCCTCATTGGTCAATTAATGCCAATGTCATGCTTTCGTCTACGTCCGCACCGTTAAAATCAATTTACCGCCAAAATCTGTCTATGTGTTTCGAGCCTATCACGTGATTCATATTACTTATAAATACTTGGACACATTTTCAACTCTTCTCTTTGCCTTCTCTCACATACAAGATATCAACGCCTAACAGTGAGATTTTCTTCAGCAACAAACATGCCTTCCGAGAGGACACAATTTTCGACTCTTATCAATTTTTACCAGTGAGAAATTTTACGTCACATATTCTGGAGCTAATACATAATCTCAGCTTCCTAGAACACACTTACTCAATTCATCTCAACCGATGTCATTCCTCGAGCAGCAAGATACTTCAATATATTTATGCTAATTTCCTCTCACTCAATAAGTTTCTTTGAACTCACCTTAAGTAAACCAATTTAGCAGTTAAAGTTAAATAACTCCTGCAATTTTATTAATTATAAACGTTAAATATTGACATACACTTTGTGCACAATTGAACAAACACTTTTGCCTGCCATAAAACAATTTTGGTGTGATAAACATTAATTTAACAATTTGCAACTCACTTTAAATTACCTCAATAAATTAATTCTTCAGTTTTGTATATTTTTGATATAAAAATGTTTGGGTATTTCTAGAAAACATATTGTTGTTTTATATTTTGGTTTTGACAGCCTTGTGCCATGCAAATAATTTAAATGTTTGTGGAGATGTTAATTTCACGCAGCCAAACTAGAAATATCCTTTTGATCAAAAATATATTCAAACAAACTAATAAATCCGCAACAAGATTTTGTAAAAATATTTATCTTTTGAAAAAATACATTTTCCAAGTAGAGTATTTAATTAATTAAGAAATGATTTAACAAGAAAGACATTAATTAAGAAAAAGACATTTTAGTAGGCTTTATTCAACTAAAAAAAAAAAAAACGTCTACAGAATTTTGTGAGTCACTCCCGCCAATGGCATACAGTTTATTTCTGGCCAAAGGGTGACAGTTATGTGAAACTGTACAACATTCACCTCGGACAAATGATATTGCCAATTAGGGAGCATGAACCTCTCTGGGATCGTTGAAACGTGGGTTTTTCCACTTTATTGTATTAGGAGATTGTTCTTCATTGTTTCGGTGGTTTGTTGGTACTGTTTGGTTCCCCAACAAACCATTTCCAGTAATTTTGCGGACTCACTTTAAATGAAGGTAAATGGATCCATTCACCTTCATTTAAAGTGAGTCCAAAAACACAGCCTCAAGGAATACATCCACACACCTGCCATGCTCTTTCTGGTTCTTCCCAACGAAGGTTATATTATCAAGATCCACCTCCCTGACAAATAACATTGAAATGTTGCTATCCAATTAGTTATTCCAAATGGAATTCAAATATATTTGTAAAGCATCGATTAGCTTCGAATGATGTAAATAATTTACCATAATGTAATGGCAACTGGTAATATGCACTCTTCATGTCAAAAGTACTGAAAATACGATAAATAACAAGTTTGTTGATAAGTTTTTCATTTTAAGGGGGTGGGTATGCATCAAACACGATATGTATTGATAGTGCTAGAATAATCCACGCATATACGCTTTTTATGGTGGTTAAGCTCGTCTTTCACTATTACTATTTGTGCTCACCAGGGAGATGAACTGGGTTCTATGATCCTTTCTTGAGCAATAAATTGTGTATCTGCTTTGCTATATGCACAGGATGTTGCCACAATTGGTAGTGCTTGTTTCAGATTAGGAAGTAGATATGACACCTCTAAACTTGAGGCTTCCAAACTACAAATCTTTGTTTCACTTATTTTTAATACTGGTTCTGTTCCGCCATGTAAAATAGTGACGGTGGTGTGCTATTTTTAGAAGTCCAGATCGAGAAGATTTTCTAGAAGTTCCAAACACGTATTCGGGTCTTCTTTATCAGTAACAGTAAATAATATGACATGTCCCCTTAACTGACGCACGTTTAAGGCATTGAAAGACATTGCTAACATAGTATAATACTATTATATTACATGGCGTAATCTTTAATTTAAGTCTCCAAGATAATTTATAGTCCATGTAGCTACTAGGACTGTCGGAATTAATAAGCACTGAAGTA